ACCCTCACCCGCGGGTGATTTCTCTTAGCTTTCCATTGGATGGATTCCCCACGTGGCGGGTTCTTAGTGGTATAGGGATACAAAGTGGAAGACTAGAGGAAGTCAAGCGAGGGTTTGATTGGTGGGTGATGTGAGAACGGGTGAGAATAAGGGTCGGGATGGAAAAGAAGAACGTGGTGGAGTTGTTGCCACTTAGCGGAGGAAAACCTAATTGGGAAAGGACAGGGATGTCCCTATCTGGGATAGGATTTCCCACTAATCCCAATTCTGGAAGCCAAAAACGTGTTCCAATAAAGGACAGGCTGTCCTTATCCCGGATAGGGTTTTCCCTGTCCTGGATTTCGAGACTTGGCCATTAAGCCTCTCCAATTCAGACCTCACCTCACCTCAACAAAGTCATTGTCCGACTCCATAGACGGAGATAGAGATTTGAATTTTCAAAACCGTACTCGTGTTGTGTTTAGAGCAATTCACTTGTAAAATAGTTTTTCATCAATAGGGTTTTGCACGGTTCGTGTTTTCTCATGTTGAAACCTTATCGTTCTCTTAAAAAAAGTCTGCGTCCATACCTAAAAACCCGGGTACGACAGATGTTTCTAGACAAATAACATTGAAAGAGGCCTGTAAGGACCTAAAAGAAATATACTCTATTTGATCTCGAAGAATTCATACAACACTTATTTCAATTTAATGTAAAACGCGTTCATACTCGAGAAGGGAGATAGTGATTTGAATTTCCAAAATCATGCAAAACAGTACACTTTCGTGTTGAGTTTGGAGCAATTCACTTGTAAAATAGTTTTTCGTTAGTAGAGTTTTGCACGGTTCACGTTTTCTTATATTGAAAACTTATCACTTTCTTAGAGAAGTCTGCATCCGAGCCTAAAACCCCGAGCAGGACAGAAATTTCTAAACAAATAACATTGAAAGATCATCTCCATCGAAATGTATAATCTAACTTTTTAATATTTCATATGGAAAAAGCTTCCGAAATTTCTATTTAAGAATAAGTAAGCATCTCTTGTAAAATATGAGCAACACCAAATCCTTCTAGAGCCCAAACCTCCATTTCTCCCACCCATTGTCCGTCTTGCTTGGCCCTGCAACGAGCGCAACCCTTGTGTTTAGTTGCCAACCGTTGAGGTTGGAACCCTGAGCAGATTTTCGGTGATAAGCCGGAGGAAGGTGAGGATGACATCAAGTCATCATGCCCCTTATGCCGTGGGCGACACACGTGCTACAATGTCCGGGACAAAGGGTCGTGATCCCGCGAGAGTGAGCTAACTCCAAAAACCCGTCCTTAGTTCGGACTGTAGGCTGCAACTCGCCTGTATGAAGCCGGAATCACTAGTAATCGCCGGTCAACCAAGAACTTATAGAATTGATGATTTGAACAGGGTGCTGCAGAAGAAGAAAGAAAAAAAGCAAGAAAGAAATCAGGCAGAGGTAAACAATCACTGATAATAACGAACACTAACGGAACAAGAGGTTAGTCATATTCATCCTTCTTGCTTGCTTGAGTAAAGCACCTAAACTATAAGACAAGTAAGCTTCTCCAGACCATACAAGTGCGCAGCGAGCCCATGCAAACGGTTTATTTAAGATATGACCAACCAGCTCTTTCATTATGAGAGGCGAGACTTGAACCACGGGACAAAAGAAAGTACAAAAAAAATTTCGTATCAATTATAAATACCAGTGAATAGGATAGAATGAATGGAAGAACTCCGCTATAGCTCTTGAATCTTCTACTGGTACGTGGACAACTGTGTGGACCAATTATTTATTTATTAAAAAACACAGATATTTTTAGAAGCAAACTCTAATTTTACAACTGTTTTTTTTAAACAAATTGACAAAATAAAATATGTCTTTAAATTTGACTTTTTTTCGCAAGTGTTTGACTTAGTTAGATTTTCCTTTTCATATGTTATATCATTTAATCTATTTTTTATAAATATTATATTTTTATCTCTAAATTTTATTTGTTTTAATTCCTATATTTTCAATTTTCCAATTATTAGAATTCAACTAAAAAACATTAATTTATTAAAATAAAAAAAACACAAATTTATACATTAAATTAAGATTTTTAGGGTGAAATATTCATATAAATAGAGAGTCAGTAATTACGTTAATCTCAATTTTCGAATTCTCAAAAGAAAAAAAAAATTAATTAAAACATCAACTTAACCCCAATCGAAGAAAAAAAAAATCAAATTTAATGGTTGGACTAGGTTGTCCAGATCAGTCAAATTCCCGAGACATATAAACACTCATAGTGATGTCATAACTTCTAATTATATTGACATTAGGTAGAAGAGTCACATTCACAAGTAACGCTTCACCAATAGAAAACAAATACAAAACCATTATTAATTTTCATAATGTTAAGATTAGAGCAGAATTAATTGTAATTCTATTTTCGAGTTTTAAAAAAAAATTAAAACTTACTCGATTATTTAAGTCAAATTCTCGAGTCATATGCACGCTACTAATGTTGGTATAACTTATAATCGACATATTATACCGTCAACATTGTTAGACGAACACGACTCTCCACAATGGTATGATATTGTCCACTTTGAGTGTAAGCTCTCATGACTTTGCTTTGGGCTTCCCAAAAGGCCTCTCATGACCAATGGAGTTAGTATTCCTCACTTATAAACCCATGATCATAGGATAAACCCATGATCATTCCCTAAATTAGCCGATGTGGGACTATAAACCCATGATCATAGGATAAACCCATGATCATTCCCTAAATTAGCCGATGTGGGACTGGCCTCTCATGACCAATGGAGTTAGTATTCCTCACTTATAAACCCATGATCATAGGATAAACCCATGATCATTCCCTAAATTAGCCGATGTGGGACTTTCATCATCCAACACCTCCCCTCGAACAAAGCACGCCTCCTTTGGAGTCTTAGTCATTTTTTACTGCCTTCGTACCTTCGAGGAGGCTTGACTCCTTTTTTCTTTTTGGAGTCCTTTGTTCGACATTCGAGGATTTGCCAATCTATTGACACGGCTAAGTTTTAGGGCATGACTCTGATACCATGTTAGACGAACACGACTCTCCACAATGGTATGATATTGTCCACTTTGAGTGTAAGCTCTCATGGCTTTGCTTTGGGCTTCCCAAAATGCCTCATACCAATGGAGTTAGTATTCCTCACTTATAAACCCATGATCATTCCCTAAATTAGCCGATGTGGGACTTTCATCATCCAACAAACATAATTTTTTGTTCCATTGTTTTTGTTGGCGTTTATTTTTATTTATCCCGACGCTTAAATAAAAATAAAATTAATAAAATGATTGTTGAAGGTCAAAGTCAAAGATGTAGTCATTTCCACTCTCACTTTCTTGTATTTTCTCAAGAAACAAACAAGGGTGCAAAATGAATACAACTACTCATAGACCCACCTGTACTTTTATTTTCAATTTTTTAAATTCACACACAAAATTAAAAATATATAATTAATTAATTTTTAAATTTATTTAATTGGTCAATGACCAAATACTAAGCACAAATAATAATAATAATAAAGTTTTATTATTTAAATTTAAAAATTTGGTATGTGAATAATAATTTTTATTATGTAGGGCTGAATAAATATATATATATATATATATATATATATATATTAATTATTTAAACAAAATTATAATAAATTTATTGATTTTTAGCTCGATTTAATGTATAATTAAGTTATTGTTTTTTCTAGATATAGGAATAAATGAATTTTGTTAATGAATGGGATAAAATTTATTATAATTATAATAACATGTTAAATGTATTAATGAAATAATATTTTATAGATACGTTAAAAAGTTTAAGATTTACTAAAATTAAGAACAAATTTAAATAATATTTTAAAGATTTAGTTAATAAAAAATTTAAAATTGAGTTTAATTTAATATGTCACATTTTTTAATGTCTAAAATATATTGTTTGAATATTAAATTTCTTTAATTTCAGGAATTAAAGATGTATTCCTATTTTTTTTTTAAATATAATTTTAGTTATTTTAACTTTAATATATATATATATTATAATATTCAGAGACAAAATTTAAAATTGGAACACTTATTAAATATTTTAAAAATTAAAAAACTAAATGTCCATTTGAATGAGAGTAGGGTGTACATTCAACCAGACAACTTGGACCAACCCAACCCGAATTATAAGGCCTAGATTGGGTTGGATTAGCTTTTCGAGTTGGTTTAGATTCATTTTTTTGAATCTAACTTGAACTAACTTAGTTCGGTTTCGAGTGCATGGGACAAAACCCTCGAGTTGACTCGAGCCAAATAAAAAATAGATAAAATATACTCAGAAGTTTACATTATTGATGGATTTGCAGGTATTTCGTATAATTTTCGAGTTGGGTTGGATTACGAAACTAACCGACCCGAACTTTTGGGTTGGATAAAAAAAAATCCCTCAACCCAATCTAACGTGGACCATATACACCCCTAATTTCAACTAAAACTAGGAGAAAATACCACTCTCGCAAACCTATCATTAATGTAAATTTCTTAGTATATTTTATATATTATTATTTGGCTCGGGTCAACCGGAGATTTTTGTCCCATGAATTCGAAACCGGAGTTGGTTCGAGTTCAGAAAAATGAATCCAAACCAACCCAAAAAGCTAATCCAACCCAACCCTCATAGTTCGTGTTGAGTTGGTCCGGGTCGTTGGGTTGAATGGACCCCTAATCGAGATCGAGACCAAGACAAAACTTGAACCTTTTTTATTTACCAACGATAACAAAATAAACAAACTCGATAATAATTATGAAGCTAAAAACTAGTAACGACTAAAGTCGGGATCGACGAGACCCGAACCTTTTGTTTAATAATTAAAAAAATATATATTAAAATTACACCGCTTAGCCTCCTTTCATTTATGCACAAAAATCCAACAAAAGAACAATGAAAACCCGTATTCTTTAGCTCTAACCTTGCACGTTCATCTTCTCTCCATTCATCTCTAGTGTTCTCTCCATTTCTATTCATATTTTCAAGAACTCAACATTTTATTTCTTCATTCTCCAATGATTTGATTCTACATCTTCCCAATAATTCCAACGTTTTTAGTGTTTTTCTCCCTTTGTTTGGATTAAATTTTTAATGTTCTTGTAATTGATATCAATTTTTAACCAATTCAACACTTCGATAGTTGGTAAGGTAGTACTTGAATCCAGAAATATATTTAATAATCAAATGGAGGAAGCATAAGCGAAAGACAGCGATGGGGAGAGGAAGAATGGTGGGAACACTGTGTTCATGCGCACTAACAATAAAGCTTTTCTGAATCAAAAACAGTACAGAAAGGAAGAATTCCTTTGAAATTTTGATGGGTTCTTTCCATTTTCCGCCATAGCCAAAAACCCAACAACCCCACATCAAGAACAACAACAACAATAATCCGCCATTTCTCCCTTTTCTTCCTTTTCAAGCCATTTCTGTCATTTTCTTCTTTACTCTTTTGGTTTTTTGGTTTATGATTTCCTCTCTTTGTTTGATGATTTGGGTTGGTTCTTGTTTTGGCGATGGTGGGTCGCTGAGGGTGTGAGCGCGTTTGCCCTTTTTTTCCTCTTTTTGAGTTGCTTCAATGGGGAACTGCTGGTATCGATGGGTACCCACGGTTAATAGGGTCTCGTCTAATGCAAAATCAGGTAACACTCTGATATGAACTTATGGATTTTGATACTCTTTTGGTTATGCTCTCTCTTTGATTATGATGATGAAACTCTGTTTTCTTCTGTTTTGTTCTGTTGATTATCCATGGTTCTTCTGGTTTTTGTTCTCTCTGTTCTTCATTTACCATGAAAACCATTTGTTCTTAGCAAAATCTCAAGAGATTTGTGAAGAAATCTGCTCGTTTATTTGCTTTGATCTGAAAAAAAGATGTAATGAGAGGAAAAATCTGTTTATCCACTCAGAAAGTGGAGATAATGTTGTGCAACAGTGGGAGTGGACATAGTGGGTTGGTTCTTATCACTGCTTAATGGTTCATAGTCAAATTTCACTTTTATGTTAGAATTTCTTAACCTATTGTCACTTAATCTTAGTTTCTATTGGCTTTTGCTTTGTAATATCACCTTTTGTTCATCCAAATCATACTTTTTGGTGTTTGGTTTCTGAGAAATGATATCATGTTCTTCAGAGTCTCCAAAAGTTGATAGCACATCACCTTATCAAAGGAACAATGAACACAATTTGCCCTCTAACCCGAAAGAAGTAGAAGATTTACGTCGTGACTCGGCCACTAATCCGCTCATTGCATTTACATTCGACGAGCTGAAGTTAATCACCGAAAATTTTCGACAGGACCGTGTGCTGGGCGGAGGCGGGTTCGGAAGTGTTTATAAAGGGTTCATTACTGAGGATTTGAGAGAAGGAATTGTTCCACTTCCAGTGGCCGTTAAGGTTCATGATGGGTTTAATAGCTATCAAGGCCACAGGGAATGGCTGGTAGCTATCTGTTCTTCCTATTTTGTTGCTCATATTTGATTCCATGTGCTATCTCTAATCAAGATAGCTATTGTTTTCTAGGCAGAAGTCATATTTCTGGGGCAGCTTTCTCATCCAAATTTGGTTAAGTTGATTGGATACTGCTGCGAAGACGAGCATCGAGTACTTATTTACGAGTACATGGCTCGGGGGAGCGTCGAAAACAATTTGTTTTCAAGTAAGCAGCCAAGTAAACTCCGAGTTTTTCTTTGTCGACCTTTAACTTCTTTGTCAGGATTGTGGTTTTTAGTTTTGAACATTGCATATTATCGAACGAACACTTCATGTATCGGTTTCAAACCCTTTCGATGCGTCATAAGAACGTTGATTCTAACAATGAACTCGGTTTTACTATTATAGAATTTTGTACTGTCTGAACTCGATCTATCTTTCGAAGAATCGTTGTGGTATGCTATATTGACATTCCATGACTGCAGGAGTGTTGCTTCCTTTGCCTTGGTCCATTAGAATGAAAATTGCCTTTGGTGCTGCAAAAGGACTAGCGTTTCTTCACGACGCAGAAAAGCCTGTTATCTATCGTGATTTTAAGACATCGAATATTCTGCTTGATTCGGTTCGTTTTGTTCTTGTTTCTCTGTTTACCGAAGTCGAAACATATAGATTTTTTGAGTAGTCTATAGTTCACGTGTACATCAATGGTTTGGTTCTGATTGGTTTAGTTCAACGACAGGACTATAATCCGAAGCTTTCGGACTTTGGTCTCGCAAAAGATGGACCAGTGGGCGACAAATCTCACGTCTCTACTCGTATAATGGGAACGTATGGATATGCTGCACCGGAATACATATTGACAGGTACGAGTTCTTGGCCTTTATTTTGTTTTCTGGTCGAATGATCGAGTTACTCTGGTGGCAACGTATTATGCATTTCTCTTTTCTGCTCAGGACACTTGACCCCTCGAAGTGATGTTTATAGCTATGGAGTTGTTCTTCTCGAACTACTCACAGGAAGAAAGTCACTGGACAAACTACGACCAGCTCGAGAGCAAAACCTTACAGATTGGGCTCTTCCTCTCCTAAAAGAGAAGAAAAAGCTGATGACCATTGTCGACCCAAGACTCGGAGGAGAATATCCCGTCAAAGGATTTCAGAGGGCAGCAATGCTGGCTTACCATTGCCTGAACAAGAACCCGAAAGCAAGGCCGTTGATGCGAGACATCGTCGACTCGTTGGAGCCGTTACAGGAAGTAAGTGATGAGGCAGTAATATCATCTGAAACAACCTCCTTACCTGTTGCCAATGAGACTACTTGACTAAGACAGGACATGGGAGCTTCAGCTACCTTTAGATGTGGAAGTTTTGTTTTATGATCAAATTATGTTTTAACTTTTAACCTTGCTAATACATTCTCACTGCTTGTAATACAAAATGTATTTGTAAATGTTATGTCGCTCAGATCAGGCCCAAACTTCGACCGCCCCGAGTTCAAACAGCTCTTCCCTCGTTTAACACACCTCGAGCTCGAGTTTGAACCTCTTGAGTTCGAGTCTAAGTCCAAGTTTTAAAGGTTGGGTTTTGCTCGCATGTCTAAGCTTCACTTGTCTTACATCTTTGCTGCTTTCTTCGAAACCTTGCTTCGCTAAGAACATTAATGGACACAACCACCAAGATAAAGCGTCGGCTTTATCAATGAACATTTCTTGATCGATTTCGCTACAAAAACGTGCAAGTCGGGAGATCATAGTATATCCCTACGAGAGAGGGTGGGCATCTTGAGAGTTTTAGATGCCCCATTCGAGATTCCGATTATATCACATAATTTAGTAGATAAAAACATCCGTGGGCATCTCAAACGTTGATGATTAAAAAAAAAAAGAAAAAGAAAATGGGGAAAGAGGAAAGGTTCTAGAGTGTTCCAAAATAGGACAATGAAGGAGGGGCTCTTAATGGAGGGAGAAGCCAAATCCAACGGCTAACAATTGGTGGAAAGTTCAGGAGGCTACAAGATTGTTGGGTTCGTTTAGCTCTCATTTTCCTATCCATCCTTTTGGAATTTTCTATAAAGAAACCTACTTTTCTTGTTGCCTCCAAATCCACCTACTGTGTGTATTAACGCAGTTTCGCCTCACTCACAGCGCTCGCCTCTCACCCTCTTATCCAAACCAATCCCTTCTCCCTCTAAACCCTAAAACCCCTTTTCGCCTCCGCCGTTTTCTTGTAAGCTTCCTTATTCTCTTGGATTTTCATACCCTTTACACGTTAGTTCTTGCCTGCATTTCTAGCTGGATTTTGTTTTTGATGTGTCTTGAGCTTTCTGGGTTTCAATTGTTCTTACAGATTTGTGTGCCAATTGTTCAATTCATTTCTGGGTTTTGGATTTCTTCCCCTTTGTTGCATGCATCTTTAGAGCTTGTTTTTGTGTATGCTTGCTGATTCATTTCTATTTTGTTTAATCTTCTAATTTCTTTTGTTGTTCATGTTATTTTGTTTCTGGGTGTTAATCTATCCAATCTTCCCTACATGGGTTTTGGGTTTTCTTCACTCTCCTGTGTGTAATCAAGGCTGTTCTTTGTTCATGCTTGCTGATTTAATTCTGCCTTGTCTCTGTGATTTTCGTACGTTTTTAAATGCTGCTTGAGAATTGTGTGTCAATTCCTGTGTTGATGATTTTGTTTTGTAATTTGTCTACTCGGGTTTTCAACCTTTGCTCTATTTGTTTGCAATTGATGTTATGAAGTTGTTTCGATTTGAACTAGTTAACGATACCGATTACTTTCTGTTTTCAGTTTTACATAGGGTAGATGGCTTCTACTTTCACAGCCATGTCTTCAGTTGGTACCCTTGCTGCACCTGGAAGCCGTGTCGTGGATAAAAAGCTTCTATTGTCTTCTGATAAGTTGACTTCTCGCACGTCCATTTCTTCATTTGCGCTCCCGAAAAGACAGAGCGTAGTTCTTAGGAGAAACCGTTCTTCCAAGATCTCTGCCATGGCTAAAGAGTTGCACTTCAACCATGATGGTTCGGCTATTAAGAAATTACAGGTGAGCTCTAGTTATTGCTCGTTTGTTCAGTATTTTTTTTGTCTTTGAATACACTTGCAATGAAGCTATTTTAGTTTATATTATTGTTCTTGTAACGTGACGCCTCGTTGTTTCAGAATGGTGTGAACAAACTTGCAGACTTGGTCGGAGTTACTCTTGGTCCTAAAGGAAGAAATGTGGTTCTTGAGAGCAAGTATGGCTCCCCGAAAATTGTCAATGATGGTGTAACCGTTGCAAAAGAGGTATCCAACTATGCATTTAGACTCCATATGAGATCTCACATCGGTTGGGGAGGAGGACGAAGCACTTTTTATTAGGGTGTGGAAACCTCTCCCTAGACGCGTTTTAAAAACCTTGAGGGAAAGCCCCAAAGAGGACAATGTCTACTAGCGGTGGGCTTGGGCCGTTATACTCCAAACTCTTCCACTTTATTTCTCTACACTGAAATACCTTCAAATTTATGTTTGTTTCATTGCGATTTTTAAACATTTTTGTTGCTACCGATAGAAAACTTGACCCACGGTATTTACTTGTGCCGGCTAGGTTGAGTTGGAGGATCCAGTTGAGAACATTGGTGCTAAGCTAGTCAGACAAGCTGCTGCAAAGACCAACGACTTAGCCGGAGATGGAACGACAACTTCAGTTGTTTTGGCTCAGGGTCTTATCGCTGAAGGTGTCAAGGTATTCAGATTCAGAGTAGTGCTATGTTTAAGCATTCCCTCATGGATTTTTATTAACTCATCTGAACATATTTTAGGTTGTGGCAGCTGGAGCAAACCCTGTTCTTATCACAAGAGGCATTGAAAAAACGGCCAAAGCTCTGGTCTCTGAACTCAAACAAATGTCGAAAGAGGTAAAAGTGCATGGTTTAACGACTCCCGTCATTTGACGGTTGGATGAAATGTTTCTTAACAAGCAATTTTATTCGTGAATGGTTAGATTAAAATGTGATACTTTTGCAGGTTGAAGACAGTGAATTGGCTGATGTGGCTGCAGTTAGTGCTGGAAATAACTACGAAGTGGGTAACATGATAGCCGAAGCCATGAGCAAGGTAGGACGGAAGGGTGTGGTGACTCTTGAAGAGGGAAGGAGTGCCGATAACAGTCTCTATGTCGTCGAAGGAATGCAGTTTGACAGGGGTTATATCTCTCCTTATTTTGTCACCGATAGTGAGAAAATGGCCGTGGAATTCGATAATTGCAAGGTATATGTGGTATTCCATCCAATCATTTCATGATTGGCCATAAGTCTTCGTGTTTTTGTGTCTTCTAACCTTCTGTACTATGTGAACAGCTGCTTCTTGTTGACAAAAAGATCACTAATGCAAGGGATCTTATTAACATACTGGAAGAGGCTATCAGAGGTGGCTATCCCGTTTTGATAATGGCCGAGGATATCGAGCAAGAAGCTCTGGCAACTCTTGTAGTAAACAAACTGAGAGGATCTTTGAAGATTGCTGCACTTAAAGCTCCAGGGTTTGGCGAGCGCAAGAGCCAGTACCTTGACGACATTGCTATTCTTACTGGAGGTCTTCTCTCTTCTTCCTTCATTCCTTTAATGAAGGAAGCGTAAGTTATCGATGTTTTTCTGGGTTGTTATTGATTTTCTTTTTCGGGTGATACAGCCACGGTTATCAGAGAGGAGGTCGGGCTTTCCTTAGACAAAGCTGGAAAGGAGGTACTTGGAACTGCATCCAAGGTCGTGCTTACCAAAGATACCACAACAATTGTTGGCGACGGTAGCACCCAAGACGCAGTTTCTAAGCGTGTTGCACAGATTAAAACTCTGATTGAGGTAGACGTAGTGATATTTTTAGTTTATTTTATTGCTTTTGCTCGAAGTTTTTCACGTCATGCTTGAGCCGACTGAACTGGATACTGGTTTGGTCGTAATTATGTAGGCTGCAGACCAGGACTACGAGAAAGAGAAACTTAACGAAAGAATTGCCAAACTTTCTGGTGGTGTAGCAGTTATACAGGTAAATTTAGTTTCCGTAGTGTATCGGCTTGTTCTACGAACCATGTGTATATACATGTTTGTGACGTTTTGCCAATTCATGAAGGTTGGAGCACAAACCGAGACCGAACTCAAGGAAAAGAAACTGAGAGTTGAAGACGCTCTTAACGCTACGAAGGTACTGTTTAATATGCTGCGTCTTTCTAAAATGGCTGTATTAGCTAAGAATCGACAAAGTAACGGCTTCGACCATGGAATGATCATTACTTTTTATGGTTGAATGGATTTGGGTTAATGTCGAAAATTTGAAACGATTTGCAGGCAGCTGTTGAGGAAGGTATTGTTGTTGGTGGTGGTTGCACCCTCCTTAGACTCGCATCGAAGGTCGACGCTATCAAGGAATCCTTTGAAAATGATGAAGAGAAGGTAACCTGTCTAGTGAAATTGTGTTCCATTAGCTAGGCCACAGTATACAATGGGTGGTACTTGATAAGTTTGTCATGTCTGTTCTTTACCATGTACTGTTGGTTCTGTTTAAATGTCTGGTTCGGTGGCAGGTTGGAGCAGACATTGTCAAGAGAGCATTAGCTTATCCCCTCAAGCTGATAGCAAAGAACGCTGGTGTCAACGGTAGCGTTGTTAGCGAGAAGGTATATATGATTACAATGCAACTGTTCGTTCTATCTCTCTGGCGTTCGTTGTCGTGGTTGTACAAAAGTGTTGAGGTTTTTGTTTCTTTATCAGGTGTTGTCCAGTGACAACTTTAGATATGGATACAATGCTGCAACTGGGAATTACGAAGACTTGATGGCTGCTGGAATCATCGATCCAACCAAGGTGAGCATCGACCGATCCTTTTCATTGGACACGTTAAAATACGATAATGTTTGTTTGTTTGTTTTTCTTGGGTAAAAAAACGAGAAAGGGACCTTAGTTGCAACAATGCCTTGTTGTGAGATCCCACGAACATTCCTTACAAGGGTGTGAAAACCTCTCCCTAGTATACGTGTTTTAAAATCGTTAATACGTAACGAGTTAAAGTGGACAATATTTGCTAGTGGTGAGCTTGGACTGTTACAATTGGTATCAAAGCCGAACACCGGACGGTTTGCCAACAAAGATGCTCGGCCTCGAAAGGAGGTGAATTGCAAGATCTCACAACGATTGGAGAGGAGAATGAAACATCCTTATATAAGGGGTGTGAAAACCTCTCCCTAGTAGAAGTGTTTTAAAATCGTGAGGTTGATGGCGATGGGCCAAAGCAGATAATATCTGTTAGTAGTGGGCTTAGGCTTGAGCTGTTACAAATGGCCAGACACTAGGCGGTGTGGATATGTTAGTAGTGGGCTTAGGCTTGAGCGGTTACAAATGGCCAGACACTAGGCGGTGTGGATTGTGAGATCCCACATGGGGTTGGAGAGGGAAACGGGCCAGAGCGGACAACATTGGGCTTAGG